CAGCAGGAAATTAAAGAACAGTTAGAGAACCACAGGTGGCATGTTTTACTTTCAGTTGCTGATATGCTGCTGCCAAGAAAACTCTAGCAAGTTGTTATTGCAAGGTGGATTTGTTATGCAATGATGCAAAGGACAATTCTTACGCCCTTTGATTTGACCGATCAAAGAGAACAGAGCTTTTTCTTACTTTATTCTGCATGAGCTAGCCATGGACTAGAAACCGTTTTAATATATGCTGTAAAAATTCAAGCCAGCCCCCACAATCCAGGGAAAGCTGGCCTTGCAGGGAAATGTTAAATGTTCCATCTTTTAAAAGTAAAAAAATAAAATAATAAAATAAAAAGGAAAGGAAATAGTGACTAGTTTGAGAAGAGAACACAACTTGTTTACAGCCAAAAGACTGCTGTCTGACAAGCAGTGCCTCAATAAAATTTGAAAGAAAGTTTAGCCAGGGAAATAGGGTCCTGAAAATAAAGGTATTGGAAAATGAATGAACACATTTTGAATTCTTCTTTCCTTGTTTGATAGTTCCTATAAGACAGTGATTCTTCTGCAGCAAAGAACTGAGAAAGACCACAACAGGACAGAATGGTTTTAACAGTATAAATTCCTATTTGAAATCTCTGGGTTTATCTTGTGAATCATGTTTGCACACCTAACGTTGCGTGACACCTCGCAGCATCTCAAGGTACTCCAGGATGCCACAGCATCTTGACTTCATTGTCTAGATGAGCTGTTTGCAATGCAACCCCCCCCAACAAACAAACAAACAACAAAGCAAAGCAAAAAGAAAAAAAAAAAAGCAAAACAAAAAAAATTCTCTCCTTCAATTTGGGCCTCAGCCTTACTACAAAATTAAAAAAAATAAACCTTTCACTAATCAATTCAACATTCATTTTACAGGTAAGGTTCTCTCAGATCAAAATGATTTATCATTTCCAATAAGAGTTGTCTATTAACAAACCTCAGGATTTATAAAACCTAATTTTAAAATCACAAAAGTACCCTCTAAAAGTTTCTGATTAACTTTAATGTAAGGAGAAAAATGTAAAAATTACAACAAAATGCTTGCAACTTAATTTACTTCAATTCTGTTTTTCATGAGTGCACTTGCATGATGCTCCAAAATCAAAATCAATAATTTTGGTTGCATGTAATCTTTTAAAAAGGTAATCAATACTTTAAAGAGAAGTAGGCAATAACAAAATTAACTGAAGCTTTCAAAGGGTTAAAAAAAGTTTGTATATGTGGAAGTAACCCTTAAGTTATAAAATTGATGCAAAATGTTTTATATTTTGAAGAGATTTTTCAAAAATATATCTGATGCTAAAAGGGAAAAAAGGGAAGGTTAAATAAAAGGAAATAAGTTCAACTTTCTGCAAAGACTTCTCTTTTTTCAATCAAACTTCTCAGCAGTTTGCATTTTAGATGGAAATTAATTGGAAGCTGTGTCACTGATGCATGTGTGTACTTACTGCATATCCTCACCATACAGGAAGTACTTCTAATTGTGGTATCAAAATGGTTTCTTCACACGCAATATACGTTATATTTTACTTCACTTATCTAGAACCTGGCTAATTATTCTTCGCATACAACAGGCAAACTTCCATGGAAGTTACTTTCTGACATCCTGGCAACTGTTACATCTTCATAATCCTGTAGCAATACAAGTTAGCTAAAATCACTGAATGAAAAACAGGGTTGAAAAATTACAAGAATTTGCCAAACCTTCTACCACTACAGGGGAAAGAAGAAGTAACAGCTATATTGTAAATAGTTTATCAGTATCATTTAATACTAATACATGTGTCATATATCAGATGTATACACACACACACACTTGTTTCTGTCCAAAGATTAGTCTAAACTCCATAAAACAAAAGACTATTGCATCATTCAATATACCTTCCCAATTAAAGAGTAATCTGTAACCTGGCTGAGTTGATTTGAAGGCTAACTCTAAAGTAAGAACACTGTATGTATACACTCCTCAAAGCACTCCTGTCTACCCATTTGGTTCCTCAGTCTAACTGAAGAGCATTAATTTGCTAATCAAGCAAACCATTTTCATCTTTCCTAAAGAAATGAGTCCAATTATGATGGACTATGCTATGATTCTTGCAATTATAAATAAACAACATAGTACAGTAAAAGCTCCAGTAACCAGCATCTTATAAAGTGAAACCGGAAGTGCCCGCTGTGGCACTTCTGGTTTCTCCAAGCCCCCATGTCCCAGAGCAAAGCAGCCTGAACTGCCAAGCCCCCACAGGCCAGGGGCATAACAGGCTGCACAGGGCTGTGGGGGGCCCGCAGGAGGGGTGGCGATGTGGTGGGAGGGGTGGCAGGACGCTCCAGACATGGTGGGAGAAGTGGCGGCCTGGGCCGCTCAATTAACCGGCATATTTTGTTATTCGGCATCCCCCATTCCCAGGGGATGCCAGATAACAGAGCTTTTACCATACTAAACGTTGACAATAGTTTGGAAGTAGTTCCTTAAAGAGACTATTTTGATACCACCTACTTCCAGCCC